GGCAGGAAGCAGCCAAGCTCCAGTCCGCGCGGAAGGCCGCGCAGCGCGCCCGCAGGCTGCCCGGCAGCGGGGCGCGGTGGGACCCCTCGCCTGCCTGCGGTCCTCAGCTCCTGCCCGCACAGGCCCCCGGCCCCCTTCCGGACGCCGGCCTGTGGGCAGCTGCCGCCACAGCCCACAGCAGGCGTGGGCTCCAAGGGCACGTCGGCCCCTTGGCGCCCACCTTGGTGACCTGCACAGGGTCCTGAAGTCACCTTTTCAAAGGTGTGAAAAAGTGTGGAAAAAACGTGTTCATACATTTGACCCAGCAGTTCACCATTCAGCTCCCAGGAAGGAGGCAGGCGCCTGTGGGGCCCCCGGGTGTGCGCTGCCCGCGCTCGGGCGGGCTTGTCGGAAGCGCGGCGTCCCCACGCAGCAGCGACGGGCGCTGAAACCCTGAAGGAGTCAATGGCGCAGGACAACGATGTGTGGCTAGAAACGTTCGTAGGGTTTACAAAATATTGATATATTCACACAAAGAAAGAGAATGTCTATCAAGAACGAGACAGATAATCTAAGATGTTAACAAAAGTTATTTCTAGATAGTGATCTTTTTGAGGGTTTAATTTCTTTGTGTGTTTCAATGTTTCCTCTCTTTTTTACACGAAAAATAACAGTTTTGTAATTGGAAAGAAACAAACTTCACTTTAGGAAATGCTCCCACGCCGGCCTGGGAGCCGGTGAGAGCGCCCACCGTCTGGGCACGCCCAGGGTGCGGGCCTGGCCCTGGGCAGGGCGCATGCGTGTGAGAGTCACAGACGCGTGTGGACGGGCGGGACGCCTAATCAATGTTCCTCTCCCCACCCCTTTCTCTAAAATTGGTGAATGAAATAAAATTTTTAAAAAACATTCCAATAAGCAATGCTGTCCAACCGAAATGTAATGGGGACCACATATGTGCTGTACATCACCCACATTAAGAAAGGTTAAAAAATGGATAAAGTTATGTATTTTAATAATGCAAAATAGCCAGAGTGTTATAATTTTAACATGGAATCAAAGTTAAAAAATTAAAAGACATTGCCATTTATTTTTCATGCTGAGTCTTTGCAACCAGCCCATGTTAATAACGCATCTACGGACTGGCCGCGTCCCCCGCCGCCCACAGGCGCGGGTGGCGCGGGCCCCTCGGGAGTGCCGTGCCATCCGAGTCTGCGCTGCTGAGGCCGTACGTCTGGGCGAAGGCTCTCCTGTTGGTAAAGCGGGACCCGATGCACTGATTCTAACTGAAGTTGAATCCCACCCCTACCCCCCGCCTTTTATTTAACATGTAGGAGAACCAGCCTTTTCAAAACAGCTAGAAAGAGCTGATGATACTAGTTTGTTTCTCCCATGCACTCCCTAAACCCAGAGCTTTTCTGGGAGTTTCGTGTATTTCCTGAAAGGTTTGCCTTGGATGTCCCATCGTCCCATCAAATTTAACTTGTAACTTATCCAGGTCCCACCTTCCAGGCAGCCAGTGCTCTGGGCGCAGCCTGGAGGGCAGCCTGGCAGTCTCCGCTCACCGCCGCCCCCGCGTCCGGCCAGCTCCCTTCTCCTGCTCTTAGAGCTCACCTGCATTTCGCGCCACCTCCTGGCGCGACGGCCCACAGCCGGGGTCCCTCTGACTGCCCTCCCCGCCTGCATTCTCCCCCTTCCCTGCAACTGCAGCGAATCCAGAGCCCGGGCACGGGCCTCGCTGTGAGGCCTTCCGGTCCTTCGAGGGCTCCCTGCTTCTCACAAAGTCACATCCGGGCTGAGCTCACCGTGGCCCAGCGGGGTCAGCCTCTGACTGGTGCGGACCCCTGGGAGCGCGTCGGCAGCCAGCAGGGCAGCCCTGGCCCACTCACCGCACTAGCCGGCCCTTCTCGCTGCGGGGCAGGCCCTCCCTGCAGCTGCAGGTGGGCGGCTTCCCTCGGGGAGGGGCGGGTGCGGAGCCCCGTCCTCTGGAGCAGGCGCTGGCTCCTGAAAGCTGCACGGGGCGGCCATCAGCTCTGCCGTGGAGCGCGGAGGGCTGGCTGTGCGCAGGCCGCCCACCCTGCCTGCTTTCCGCTGGGCCTCTGAATGAGCGGGTCCCGCCCTTCAGGGTCCGAGGCTGAGGGGGGCTGCCTGCCTTTGCCGCTGGACTGGCCGACTTAAAGAGATGGGTCCTGTTTGCATTCCTGCACTTTTCTTTGATTTGGATGGTAGCCAAAGGCAAACAACTCGGCCTAGTGGGTTTGAAACCGAAACGGAGCTTCCTGAGCACACACGCTGTTGTCTGGTGGGGGGACATGCAGATCCGTGAGCTGCTTTAGTGTAACCCTTTCCTTCTGTGGAAAGGGATAACGCGCTCTCTGCTGGCATTTGAGATCTGTCTTCGGTTAGAATTTACTGTGGGAAGAGTTTAGTGAGGAATGGCTAATCTAAGAAGATTCGGTTTGATTAGGGGCTAAACTAACAAACTGCATTTCGAAATGAGATAACAGGATTTGCGATTTTTGGTCTTCGTCCAGCAAAACCGAAAATCCCCCAAATCACCATCCCCAGCAGACAGGGAACCTATTCTTTCACTAGAAGTTTAAATTTTTGGATTTATAAATTGTCTTAAAAATGTGTTCTTTGAACAGTTAAAGTGTTACATAGTATTGAGATGAAGTCATCAAACTGCCTAGGGCTTTAACTGTGTATATTTGGGTGACTGGATAAAATGTATCATTTCGGTAAAAGAAGTAACACTCAACACTGAAGGCAGCTTGCCTTGTAGCCATTCAGGAGACTTAAAAGTCAATTGCCTTCTGCCTTAACTTTTATTTTCTTTTGAGTGTATATGGATTTTAGGACTTTTCTGTTTGGCTTTTGTGTTTTAGGAAATTGGTCTTTTATAAGAAATTGATAGGGGCAAGATGTTTTTTGTCCTGTTACGCCTGCTCTAGGAGGGTCTCACTCTGAAGACACCGGCAGCTCTGCGTGATGACCGGGCCGTGCGGTGCCGGGAGCAGCTCCGCACAAGGAAGTGCGCCCTTGCCAAAGCCCGCGGGCCCTCTAGGGAGGAAGATGTGGACGCAGACTTTCAGCAGATGTCCCGAAGCAGAAAATGCCCCTAGGTCGGTTTGGATATTCAGAGCAAAGTTACTGCTAGTGGTTTTTGACAAGGATAACTTAAAAGGACAAAAGAGAGAGACATCTTTTTTCTTGTTGCCCTTTTCCTCCAAATAAGGCGATTAAGATAGAGAAAATGAAGTATAGCTAACTGGTGTGATGCGGAGTTCATCAACAGCTTTGCAGTGTCCCTGAATTTTAAAAGGAGAGCGATTTTGTGTCTGGGCGAAGTTCGCCTGGACCACTCCCAGCTGGCCCGGGTGGCAGCGCGCGGGAGGGAGGCAGACCGCCTGTCTTCGGACGACGACTTTCTGGCCGGACCTGTGCCCGCCCCGTGATCAGGGAAGGCCTGGCCGGACAGTGCCGAAGCAGCCTCAGCGAAGGGTTCCTCGGGGCTCTGGGCCAGCTCTGGCCCCCGCCGTCCCCTCCGACACACAGCGACGGACATCCGGGAAGTAGAAGCTCGATTTAGCGGCGCATGAGGCGGTGCCCTGGTGAAGCTAAGCTTCCAGTGTGAGAGGCACCCCGTGTGCCGGGCCGCCATGCGGCGCGGGCGGTGGGGACGGGGCCGTGCACCCAGCAGGCGGGGCGGGCGCCAGCCACAGGCTCCTGCTGCCCGGATGGCGCCCAGTGGTTCGCGCAGAAACGGGCGTCATAGGCAGCACCTCCTGCTGCGCGGCGACATGGAGGAGGCGGAATCGCTCCCACTGCCCCCGTAGGAAGGGCTGCTTTTTAGGATTCCTGCCAGCTCCGCACCAGCAAGTGGCACATGGAAGTGGGGACTTAGGTGTTGTGTGACTTTTTTAAGATTTTATTTATTTATTTTTAGAGAGGGCGGAAGGGAGCGAGAAAGAGGGAGAGAAACATCCATGTGTGGGTGCTCCTCAGGCGCCCCCTGCTGGGGACCTGGCCCCCTACTCAGGCCTGTGCTCTGACTGGGAATCAAACCAGCGAACCTTCGGTTCGCAGGCTGGCGCTCAATCCACTGAGCCCCACCAGACAGGGCTGTTCTGTGACTTCTAGTGCCAACCTGGCAGGGGTGACCTGCCACTCTCTGTGCTGGGGGCCGTGGTGGCTTTCCAGATGGGGCCCCACTGTCCTTCACAACCCCAGATGGATGGTGCGTCCCCTCGGAAGAGCTTGGAGACCCCCTTAGACACTGTGCCGCCGATGCCACGGCACCCACCGAGAACGGCGGGTGGAGCCGTGCAGTGCCCGGGGCAGCCGTCGCCCCTGGGGCAGCCTGGGTGCCGTCCCCACAGCCGCCCCGCCCTCGGCTGCCTCCACCCCCTGCCTGGTCCCCGAGGTCAGACAACGGGAGCTGCATCTCTCACAGTGAGGAAATAAGCACAAGAACGAAGAGTTGTCCCTCCCTGCTCGGCAGTGGCACGGACCCCAGACCACAGTCCCAGCTCGTTGGGTGGGTGGCCGCTCTCCATGCGTCACACGCTAGCCTTGTCCCAGCCCTGACTGCCGCCTGCCTGCGTGTCCTCGCACTCACTTTGGGCGGGAGCACAGAGCTGCGCCCTGGGATGGGGTGCTGGCCGATTTGGGGGGCGAGGGCAGCGGCGGGGCTGGGCGAGGTTGCTCAGGTCGCTGTCGCTCGTGGGCGTGGCCCGTCCTGCAGCGCTGGCTTCGCTGAGTTTGCTGCCGCCTCTCCCCCCATTCAGTGTCCCCTTCCAGGGCCTCTCCAGATGAGTAGCAGCGAAGGGCCGGTCCGCCTCACGGCGTGTCCGTGGCATGTACACATGGCATGTACATGCATGTGCCACGGCCCAGGCGTGTCCCTAGGGATAAGGCACGAGTGCCCTGCTGCCTGTCAGCTGGTGCCTGTCACAAGGCGCTCTCTCGTGGTTCCCTCTTTGGAGCCCAATTAAACCCTTTTCGTCCCTGTCCTTCCCTAGGGCTCGAAGGTCCTGGTGGACGCGCGGGACAAGCTCGGGATCCCGTGGCAGCACTCCGAGAACGAGAAGCACGGCATGTTCCTCATGGCCTTCGAGAACAAGGCCGGGCTGCCCGTGGAGCCGGCCACCTTCCAGCTGTACGTGCCCGCGCTGAGCGCACTCTGGGGCGACTCCGGCATCAGGGAGGCCTACAGCCGCCGGAGCGAGTTCCAGCTGGTGAGTGGGCCCTCCTGGCCGCGGGGTTGTTTCGCAGGACTGGCTTTGACCTTGGGTGGGGTGTCCTTGAAGATTCTGTGAAAATACAGGCAAGCTGGAAGTTGCTTTCAATCCTAAAATTCAACAACAAAAGCACATAATGAAGCACACCATCTACATGGTGCGGGGGGTGGGGGGCGGGCGGGAATTGACTCGCTCAGGCTAGGTCAGGTTTTGCTCATGACCCTGGAGGACTCTGAAAGCACCGAAGACCCGTGTAAGGCAACGAGCTCCATGGCTTAGAGCTTGGTCACGGCTGGAAACCGGTGTCCCCTGAGACAGCGCTCTGGCTGACAGGGCAGGACCCGGCCCGGCAGGACGCGGGCGACTCCGGGTCGGTGCCCTAAGAGCCCATCCGCGCCTCCCCTCAGACTCTTCCCTTCGCTCTGCAGTCTGAGAATTTCAAAAGGCGCAGCCACCTTCCTCTTCGAGGCTCACCTGGGGCGTGAACCCAGGCAGACAGCGTGGGCGCGGCCCCTGCCGAGGCTGGCAGGCTGCGGGGGCCACGTGCCCCTCAGCACGCTGTCGTTTGCAGGCACGACCCCCGCTCAGCCCGCTGAGCCGGCGGAGGGACCGGGGTGGCTCGGCGCTGGCCAGGCGCTGGATGGACGGTGAGGCGGGGATGTCGTGTGTGTGCTTTGAACTGTGTCTCTGCGCTCCCGCGGCTTCTCCAGACAGTCGCCTGAGGCCTGGCTTTCCCTGTGGTTGGGAGTGGCAGCAGCAGAAGGGGGCCAGCCGGGTGGCCAGGGAAGCCCTGTGCGGGGCGGGGAGGCCTGGGAAGCCCGTCCCTGTGCCAGCCTGGAGCAGGAGTGCAGCCTGCTGGCGGGGGCGGGACGGGGGCGGGGCTCACTGCGGCCACGCCCGCCAGGCCGGACAGTGAGAATTACCTGTGAGCAGAGGCGCCACAGAGGCGTTCAAAGCACCGAAACAACAGGTCCGAGCTGCGGTTGTTGCAGACTCACTCTCAGCCGCGTGCGGGGTGCGGTGCGGGAGGCGCGGGCCGGGCGGCGGGCCCTGCAGGAGTCCGGCTCCAACGCCGAGGGCCCAAGCCAGGGCAGGGGTGGCTGTGAGACCTGACCTCCCCCCGCTTATGACTTCCTGCTGTTGGAATTCTGCGCCGCTCTTTGCTTGTCGTCTCACTCACCGCGGCCTTCGTGGTCGGACTTCCCTGCAGACGCACCCCTTGAGCGGCCCGGGGGGGTCCCGGAGGGCCCCGCTGCCTGCGTCTGCCAAGCCAGGGTTGGCTTTTCGTCCTGTTCCTGCTGAGCACCTCCACTTAGCAGCACTGCTACTGTAGGTTAGGGTTTGCTTTTCTTCCTGCCCTCTAGGCGGTGGCCGCTCAACGCCATTGAACAACACTGTTACTACAGGTTTGGGGCGACGCCTCTGCTCGGAGGGTGGACAGTTACCCCGTCCTGGGAGCCAGGCCTGGCGAGTGCTCACCTGACCTCCCGCTGCCAGCGCCCCCGCTGAGCACCCGCTTGTCCGGCGCCGGGAGGCCTTGCACAGGCGCACAGCTGTGGGGAGCCCTCCACTACCCTCTCCTCTGACACCGGCGCTTCGCGCTTCTCAGATGTTAACAAAAATTCACTGAGTTGTGAATACTCTTTTTCATCCTTTCCATTTTTATTTCAAAGCTGCAGGGAATGGTGCTTTCTTGTAAGGTCTTCCTCCTTTGGCTTTGGAAGGTGGAGTTGGAGGCCCGTCCAGAGGATGTTTATGTTTGCAGCGCCATGTCTCTTGATTTCTGGAAGTCAAGTGATTCTGCTGTTAGCGATTGTTTTCCTGTCCTGTTCAAAGGAATGACGTCTTGGTGATGTTCCCAGAGAGCGCTGGGGAAGGCTGGCTGTGCAGGCCGACCATCAGACGTGGAGGCAAGCCATCCGTCGCAATGGTGGGTGGGCGCCGCTGCCTTAGGACCCCGCGAGGGATGGGCTCTGCGAGAACCAGCCTGCGGCTCGGCAGGTAACACGCTGACTATCGGGAGGCCCGCTGGGCTCAGTGGCTGAGCTCCTAACACAAATCCACGTGTGCTGCGCTGTTTCCGTGACGTCTGGGGCTTCGAAGTCACTCAGTCAACTGTGTTAGTCCCACGGGCTTGTCTGGGCTGCAGGAAGGGCTTTGCCCGCCCTCGGGCCGGGAACGCACCCTCGGCGAGGCCCCAGCGTGAAGGGGAGCCCGAGGGCGGCTCGCACTGGGCAAAGGCCGCGTTTCGGAGGACAGAGCAAGTCCGTCCTCCGAGTGGGTTTGCCACCGCGGGTGACACTCCTTGGGAAACGCGCCTCTGCTTTTGCTGCTGCTATTTTAATTGTGTTTCCAAATACCACCCCCAAACTTCCTAGACACTAGCGGGCTGGGCTACACGGAAGGCGGGGTGATTTGTAGCAGTGACAGGAGCTTTCAACTTTCTGGGGGGCCACATGAAATGCGGATATGATGAAAGAGAGGTTTTGTTCCTTTTCTGTGCCTGGTCCCCTGTGCTTCTAGGAGAGACATCAGCTTTTTCGTGGTGGCTCTCAGCTCCTCGGGAGCAGTTTCTCAGGAGCTGGCTGATGGAGAATGAGACCGGAAAGAGCTGCCCGCTGGCCGATGGCCGCTTCCATCCGCAGACCGCTTGGGGCGATGGGGCAGTGTCCCACAGGCCCCGAAGGCTGTCGCTGGCCCAGCCGCCCCCCTGCCCATCTGGGTTTCCCCCAGGCCAGCCGGCTCTGGTCGTAGTCCTCTTCCTCTTCGCTCTGCTATCGAACACCCTACGGACTTGCCTTTTGAGATGCTGCAGTCTAAGGGTTCAGCCTAGAGGCGATAGGAGAGTCTGGCACAGCAAACCCAAACGGCGGGGACCATTTTCCCCTCGTGAAGGAAGCTCAGGGAGGGTAGGTCTCTGCGCAGGCCCATCCCAGCGTCTTGCCACCCGGCTGCGTCCTCAGGCCCGGTGCTCAGAGTGCAGCCCAGCTGGTGGCGGGGTCCCTGCTCTTCCCGTGAGGCGACTTCCGGCAAGCACCAGCTGACAGTCCTGGCAAAGCTCATCGGCGGAACGTGGTCCCGTGGCCACACCTACAAGGAAGCTCGCCTGGCACCGCGTCACAGAGAAGCTGCCAGCACCTGCCGCCACTGTCCCTCTGGGACCTTCTGCCTGCGCTGAGGGGGTGCCTTGGGGGTCCTCAGGGCGGGGCCCTGGGAGGGCAAGGGGGGTTTTGCCCGTGATTGTGACTCTCCTTTGTTGAGCAGGGAGACACAGTAGCACATGATATGCATTCGACGACTTATTAGTACATGCGGTTCATGGAGACACCACACCACTGTGCTCTCAGTCGTGTGTGTCTCTCATTTATGGAATTCATTCATTCAGCAAATACTTGTGGGGCAGACACCATGTGTCAGGCACTTACAGACCCTGGGAAATGGCAGCAAACAAACAAAAGGCAAAGCTGTGCCCATATGGAGCTGCCGGTCGGCCAGGAGGAGGCAGAGTGAATAGGTGGGGGAGGGGTGCCCCTGTGTGTGAGGCAGATAAAGCAGGGCGCTGGGAGGAGGCCTGTGGACGGCGGGGAGCGCTCCGGAGCAGATCCGTGGTCCCCCACCTTGCTTTCCCCTCTCACATGGCAGTCACAGTGAGAGTCTGGCCCCAGGGCCAGGCAGCATGTTCGCTCTCGGTTGGAGCGACCATGGGGCTTGACTCTCAGTCCTGTTCTCACAGTCGCCGGCATGAGTTCCCGAGCCCACGGGGCGGGACGGCTGCGCCGGCAGGGGTGGGGCGAGAGGGGGCAGCTCCCGGAGCAGAAGGGTGCTCAGCGGGCCCTGGGGGCCTGGGCTCTGGGGCGAGGAGCGGCACCGTGTGATTCCTATTTTAGTAGGGCCACCTCGGCAGCTATTTCAGTAACAGAAACCAGGGCCCTCGATGGCAGGCTTTTGCAGTAACGTGGGTGAGAGATGACGGTGGTTCACGTCAGCGTGGTAGCGATGGGGTGCCGAGAAGGGGTCAGGTTCACGTGCCTCAGAGCCGGAGAGGGCTGGCAGGGCACCGGTCTCCCTGCCCACCCGGCTCAGGAGTCCCGTGGGCGCGCCGTGGGCACTGACACGGGGCCGGTATTCTGTTTTACGTTTTAAAACCGGATGCAGCGGAGAGTGCCCTGGGGACATGTGGCCAAGGACCCGGCGCTGAGAGTGCAGCTCGGAGGGGCCCCGCAGGCGGGGTGTCTCGGCGCCGGGCAGGGGCAGGCGGACCTCTGGAAAAGACACTCGGGTCCTCACCCCTGGAGTGCCCCACAAATGACGTCCCAAGGCCAGGCGTCCCAGAGATGGCCAAGGTCGCGAGGAGTCCAGGCCCGATGCCCGGAATCTGAGGAAACAACGGGCAGCAGAAACAGGGCCACAGTGCGCAGGTGTGGTACACACCAGGCACAGATTTTATTTAATCTGTTTAAAGAAAGAAAGAGAAGTTAGAAAATACCCTCGGGAAAAACGGGAAACTATTTAAAACACAGTATATTTTAAAAGAACAAACTAGAACTTCTAGAACGAAAAAACACCCAAACCAAAATTTAAAGCTCCGTGGATACATTAAGCAGTAGTTTGAACACAGAAAAAGAGAATATTAACAGACGAGAAAAAACCCTGGTAGGAAACGATAAGGCTGTAAAACAGAACAAAAGCCGGGAGAAGATGGGGCGCAGCGAGGGGTGGTGGGTGGGGGAGAAGTGGACGTGGGTTTTAGCAGGAGTCGCAGGGAAACGGACGGCCGGCCAGGGCGGACGCTGTGTTTGGGGAGGTCGTGGCTGAGAGAGTGTAACCAGCTACGTAACAGGAAAGAACTTCTCGTTAGACATACGATGAAACCGCAGAAAACCAAAGACAGGAGAGTCTTAAAAGCAGTGACAGAAAAAGGCAGAGACTCACTTTGAAGGCGGGCGGTTGGCAGCGGCCAGAGGAGCGAGCGCCGGGGGGCGGGCCGGCGAGGGGCT